CCAGTTTTGGGAAAAACAAACTCTCCCGTTTCTTCACCCTATCTTTGTTCATGTCTAAGGATCATTTTTCACAATAGCTCAGACCCTTAAAGACACTGGAGAAGATAAACTAAGCTATGGTTGGTTGCCAACATCAACTATCAGTGGTATGAGCAGGCTGGGCCAAACACACTGCTAAGCCAACCCAGATAGAACAAGGCTGGCCTGCTCATTCCCCACATACTGGCCTTTCCAGTGATTACTCCTGCCTTCCACACATTTCACAACTAAATTAAAGTACCATATTTACCAAACCACTCATCTAATACTGGAATGGATGTTTCCAACTTTATATAAGAGGGTATTGTTATCACCAGGACCACCTCACCTTACATCCTTTTCATGTTTTTTATTCTCTCGTATGATGTCATACATGGGATCTTCATGTGCCTTGAGGGTTAGAGAAGGGTAAGGTTGGATTAGGGCTTTATGGACTGTTTAGTTAAATTAAAATTAAATCTCTATTTCACTGAAACCAGGTTTTTTTCCTGTTTGGTGTAACATTTAATATGTTCTAGGGGCACCTGGGTGGCTCAGTCAGTTGAGCATCCAATTCGATTTTGGCTCAGGTCATGGTCCAGAGATCATGGGATCGAGCCTCAAGCTGGGCTCTGTGCTGAGCACTGAGCATGGAGGCTACTTGGGGTTCTCTCTCTCACCCTTTGCCCCTCTCCCTGCTTGCACATTCTCTCTAAAATAAAAATGAAAAAAAAAGTTCTAATCCTTAAGGGTTACTGTCACTGCAAACCTATTGAGGCTTTTTAAAAAAAATTTTTTTTAAACGTTTATTTATTATTGACAAACAGAGAGAGACAGAGCAAACAGGGGAAGGGCAGAGGGAGAGGGAGACACAGAATCTGAAGCAGGTTCCAGGCTCTGGGCTGTCAGCACACAGCCTGACGCAGGGCTCGAACTCACAAATCGCGAGATCATGACCTGAGTCAAAGTCTGATGCTTAATTGACTGAGCCACCCAGGCGCCCCCCTATTGAGGCTTTAACAAAGAATTTTCTAATTAAAAAATACAGATTGTAATTTAAATATCCTTTACAAGAATATAAACCATGGCAGAATCATGTAATACTACTCAAGGTAGAAATATTGAGGTAATTTGCTTTGTTCTGTTTGGAAAGGTGATTAAGAAATGGCATTAAGAAAAGCAAGTGAATTACAAAATGATACATAAGAATGGAACATTTATAGGTACACAAAAATGTATGTTAAGTACCTCAAACAAAGTCTGCAAGTATACCAGAAGTACAGATAATTTTTTTTAATGTTTATTTATTTTAGAGACAGAGAGACAGAGCACAAGTGGGGGAAGGGCAGAGAGAGCCGGAGACAGAATCTGAAGCAGGCTCTGAGCTGTCAGCACAGAACCCGGCGTAGGACTCAAACCCACGAACCATGAAATCATGACCTGACTTAGACACTTAACCGACTGAGCCACCCAGGTGCCCCAGAAGTCCAGATAATTTAAAGTAACTTGAATTACTTAAAAATAAGAATACATGTAGGAGGAATGTTACAGTATGTAAACTATCTCAATTTTAAAAAAGAATAAATCTAATTTGTAGAAATTTTAAATGTTACCAAAAAATTATGTTAAGCTTGGCTCTGGAGAGTCCATTCTGCTAGTCTTCTGGCAGTTTTCTGGGTTAGTCTGGAAAACCTCCAAAAGCATGAAGGTTAAAGAACACCCTACTAAAGAATGAATGGGTCAACCAGGCAATTAGAGA